CAAATGTCCACTGATAAACACACACACATATACACCGCACTAAAAGGTGAGGTGACACAGGGTGAAAATGTAACTTGAGATAAATCTAGGTCAGACAGTCATCAGGTTCACGTGAAGCACGTTGGCCAGCACTATAGGTCATCATGTTAGCTGTACACGAGGAGTCTTTAGTTTGGGGATGATATAAAAGTCACTGCATCTTCAGATGACCAAAGTGTGCCACCTGTCGCCTATCATCAGTAAAATACCGGCTGCACACGAGTCTGTGGAAATCCTCTCAACCACAGTCTGATCATGTGATTCCAAGTATCGAAGACATGTTAACTTCACTGTTAGTCCCATCACCATGAAGAAGACCCACATGGTGTAAAATTTATCCTTAAAGGAATATGTCTACCAGCCCCTCTTTAACTCACTAATCAACATGTAGATCATTAAGCATCTTATGAGAAATTTACTGTGTAGGATGTAGTGGCATCTAGCGGTGAAGTTTCAGATTGCAACTCACTGAACACCCCTCGCATCTGACTTTGCCAATCTGGAAATGAGACTGGGCTGTAAAGTGTAAAATATGTACTGTATTTATGTGCATTTATTCCAGTTGTAGTTGTAGTTCTGCAGAGATGCCCTTACCTACAAATGTTGTTCTCCAGATTTTAGAAAACCGGTGCAAACCCACTAAAATTACATGAATTTATATTTGTTTTTATTATAGTTTTTACTGTATCATGCAGCCCTAAACAATTCCTATATTCAGGTGATTATACACTAATTTAAACATTACTATGAATTTTATATTCCATTCCTGCCAAAAGATCCTCCTAAATGTTACAAACTGGACCTTAAATTGAATGAATTTAAACTCAGAACAAATGTAATGAAGGCAAAAACAAAAATATGTTTTTAATTAATAAAAACATCAGTAATTATTTAAAAGTTTTGACGAAATGGAACCCATTTGTACACTTCCTTACAAGCGGCATGGGAAAACATTTCCTGAACTACTGGCGAGCTAACAGGTACCCTCGGGCACCACGTCAGAGTTTCAAACAGAAGAAAATAAAATAAAAAAATAAAAAAGACAAATTAAATCTGAAGGGAGGCAGCAGCCTTTAAGACACTGTTTTATATACGGTTTGCATGCAACTCCGTGTTTGGAAAGTCACACAGAGATACAGTAAGACCTCTAAAAAGGAGAAATGGAGCATGAGGGAGTGAAGCATTAAGTTTTGTTATAGAGTATGGAGTACATGCGTGTGAGGGGAGGAAGCGAAGATAAAACATTTCAATCAAGCAAGACTGAGAGGAAACCGTATACCTTGATTCTCTCCGCACCAGGCAGCAGGTGCATGTGGTGTCCCCCCGTTCAGGGTTTCACGCTATACATTAATGACATCAAAGAGACAGCCTGTGACAAGTTGAGCGGTTGTTTCCATTTATGTTCTGCACAACTAGCCATGCTCCACTTCCTCTACAAATGGCTGAAACGCTCTCTGTTGTACTTCAGATTGATGAAGCCATCTGTCATCTATCTGGAGTTGGGAGGCAACACTTGGCTTATATAAAGGTTATATGAACACATGTACACATACAGTCACTCGTATGTTTCATGTAAAAAGTAATTTCATGCAGCCTCACATGGCTGTATCACACAGATATACACAAAACACACTAAAATACACACTAGAGAGACATTTAGACATATTCTCTAAATTCTGATGAGCTGGATTTCTGTGTAATGTTTTTTTTTTTTTAAATAAATACTGTTATTTTCAACCATTTTATAATTTGACCAAAATGACATGACGCTGAAGCTCTGACCTCTGATCTGAGCTACTTGCAACACAACCAGTTGTACTATTGACACAAGTTCAGATAACGGATGAGATGGCCTATAACCAGAGACACATCAAGGTTTCCACAGAGAGGACAAAAATCCCCTTAAAGGAATAAGTTCAACATTTTGGGAAACAAGTTTTTTCTCCAAGAGCCCAAAATGAGAAGATACAATTTCCTGGAATCTCTGCTGGTTGCCTGGCAACCTCAAATTCCTTATTTTATTTGTTTGTTTGTTTATTTTGTGTCCTACATTTATAAGCATAAATAATTTTCTTTATCAGTTAATTGACTAATGTGTTAAAGTTAATTTAGCTAAAAAAAAAGCTTTATTTTTATTTTAAGTAAAAACATTTTTGATTAAGCAGCTTTTGCTAGTGACACAGACTTTATTTTCTAATCTTTATTTGTACTGTGAAAACAAAATAGCAATATTAAAAAGTACTTTATCAGGAATGTGTCTGTCGGTGTCAGTCTCACCTAAAATCACTAGTAAAAGCTGCTTAATCAATAATGTTTTTTAACTCACAGGATTGAGTGAGTGTCACTTAAAATGTTCGATGTAATCAGTTACAACAATCACAGTGTACAGCTGTAAAACAAATGTAGTGGAATAAAAGCTACAATACAGTATAGATACTATAGTATACTGTATACTATATATATAGTATATATACTATACTATATATATATCATACTGTAGTATACTATAGTATGGTATATATAATATAGTATATATAGATACTATAATGTATATATAGATACTATAGTGGGTATATATATATATACACATTATAGTATAGTATCTATATTTACTATAGTATGGTATATATAATATAGTATATATAGATACTATAATGTATATATAGATAATACGTATAGTGTGTGTATATATTCAATTCAATTCAATTCAATTTTATTTGTATAGCGCCAATTCATAACAGAAGTTATCTCAGGACACTTTTCAAATAGAGCAGGTCTAGACCGAACTCTTTAACATTAATTACAGAGACCCAACAGTACCACCATGAGCAAGCACTTGGCGACAAGGGCAAGGAAAACTGCCTGTTAAAAGGCAGAAACCTAGGACAGATCCTCCGGCTCTAGGTGGGTGGTCGTCTGTCTCGACCAGTTGGGGTGAGAGAGAGAGGAGAGGAGAGAGAGAGAGAGAGAAGAGAGAGAGAGAGAGAGAGAGGACGACAGACAGACAGGTGCACAGCAACAACAGTATTGGCAATGGCAGTCAAGCAGGACCATGGCAGGAGGCTCCACCAGGATCCATGAGAACCTGCGAGACGAGAAGCACAAGAACTCCGGGGAAGAAGTGGAGTTAGTAACATGCATTAAAGGGACATGAATGAGTGCAGAAAGAGAGAGGAAGAGAGTAGCTCAGTGCACCATGGGAAATCCCCGATAGTCTAGGCCTATAGCAGCATAACTAAGGGATGGTTCAGGACTCACCTGATCCAGCCCTAACTATAAGCTTTATCAAAGAGGAATGTCTTAAGCCTACTCTTGAATGTGGTGAGGGTGTCTGCCTCCCGAACCACAACTGGAAGCTGGTTCCACAGGAGAGGAGCTTGGTAACTGAAGGCTCTGGCTCCTGTTCTACTTTTTAGAGACTATAGGAACCACAAGTAGCCCAGCATTCAGAGAACGTAGTGTTCTAGTGGGGTAATAGGGTACTATGAGCTCTTTAAGATATGAAGGGGCCTGACCATGAAGAGCTTTATAGGTGAGGAGGAGTATTTTAAATTCAATTCTACATTTTATAGGGAGCCAATGCAGAGTAGCTAGTACAGGAGAGATGTGATCTCTTTTCTAGTTCCTGTCAGTACTCGTGCTGCAGCGTTCTGAATTAATTGGAGCGTTTTAATGGACTTATTGGGGCAACCTGATAATAAAGAGTTGCAGTAATCCAGCCTTGAAGTAACAAATGCATGGATTAGTTTTCTGCATCTGTGATAGGATGTGTCTAATTTTTCTAATATTACGTAAATGAAAGAAGGCAGTCCTAGAGGTCTGCTTTATGTGGGAGTTAAATGACAAATCCTGATCAAAGATAACTCCAAGATTCCTGACAGTGGTGCTAAAGGCCAAGTTAATGCCATCTAGAGTGACTATATCTTTAGACAATGAGTCTCTAAGGTTTTTGGGGCCAAGAACAAGAATTTTCTTGTATATACACACACATTATATATAGTATCTATATATAGTATATATAGATACTATACTATAGTGTTTATACTAGTAGTATATATACTATATATAGTATATAGTAGATATACTTTTATCTGTACATTTTATCTTTTATCTTTTATATATAGTTATATATATATTTATATATTTGTTTGTAATATATGTTGTTTGTATATCTGGAGTTTGTAAAAATAATTTCCCCCTGGGATTAATAAAGTATTTCTGATTCTGATTCTGATATATAGTATATATACTATACTATAGTATAGTATATATAGTATAGTATAGTATAGTATCTATACTATAGTATCCATATATATATATATATAGATACTATATATATATATATAGATACTATATATATATATAGGATACTATATATACTATATACACTATATTATAGTATCTATAGATACTATAATATAGTGTGTGTGTGTATATATATATATATATATATATATATATATATACTATGTATACTATACTATATATAGTATATAGATACTATATATAGTGTATCTATAGTATATATAGATATTATATTATAGTGTATCTATATATATATATATATATATAGCTAGTATCTATGTATATAGATACTATATATATAGATACTATATATAGTATCTATATACTTATATGTACAGTTATATAGTTATATCATATCTATAAACAAACATTTGTAGACAGTAGACACGGTGCAAATGAAATAAATAAATATTTTACATATATGTATGTATTTAAGTACCTGAGTAAATGTACTTAGTTACATCCCACCAAAAGACATGAGTATTTCTATAAAATAAAAAAAAACCCTACTGGCTATGTCACTGCAGTTCACCATCCACATTACCTAATAATGCCCTCCTCCTCCTCCTCCTCCTCTTCCTCCTCTTCCTCCGGCCTCGCGCACTGCGCAGCGCTCATTGGTTGGCGCGACAATATAAAGTTCCGCAGTGATTCCCTCACTGACTGACTGACTGACTGACTGCTGCCTGCTGCCTCACTCACTCACTGCCTGCACGGAGAGAGCCACGCTGCCGACCACAGAGAGGATTTATTGAAACTTTATCGCTCATTATTTGCAGTTGTGTGTCTCGTGCTGTTTCTGATCGATCATGAAGGAAAGGAGACTCACGCAGCCGTTCGTCGCGAGGTGTAAACTAGTGCTGGTCGGGGACGTCCAATGCGGTAAAACAGCGATGTTACAGGTCCTGGCTAAGGACTGCTATCCAGAGGTAACACATTTCTGTAAAATGTTATAATATCTAGTTGTTATTTTTATATCTGAACTGAAAAATATTGATTATTTTAATTATATGTTATGTTTAATTGACCACCCCCCCACCCCCGCAGAATAAATAGGACTTTACTAGTCTCTCAAGGACTACTTTTCTCTGTTTCCAATTGTGTTAGAGACCTATAGTACACCAGTGATACTTAATACTAATTTATAGTCATCTTATTGATTGTTGAAGGCTCATTAATATGTTTTAACTACCACGATGCCACACAGCTCATAGTATTATTATATTATTATAAGGGATATTTGACTAAATGCTCTATTTTTATAGGTTTAGTTTAGTAAATGTAGACAGAGCTGCATACAGTCCTTACAGACTGGGAACCTCATTGGTCATACTTTAGGTTAATATGTTGCACAACCTATGAATTGATTGAAAAGTTAATTTTGCTCATCTTTTTGGAAATAACAGCCCCTTCTCAAATATGAATTTGTCTTTCATTTTATATAATTATATATTTAATACGTTTTGCTGTTGATCAGACTCAGTAACTCAATCACTGGAGTGGATGGCTGAATTAGTTTTTACATTTCCATGTAAATTTGCAGTTTTAAAAAGCTCTTTTTTCCCTTTTTATTGTCCGTTTCTAGACGTACGTCCCAACTGTGTTTGAGAACTACACCGCCTGTCTGGAGCTTGAAGACCAGCGTGTTGAGCTCAGCCTCTGGGACACATCAGGTGAGGATTCATACTCTGATTATATATTTTAAACTTACTCTCAGTTTAATAAAAACTAACCTTTTTACAAGGCACAGGGCTGTTATCTCTCCTCCCTTCTTATCTCTGACATACAGCCAATTTAAAACCCTCCCCAAGCTTTTCACAGTCAATGAGTGGTGTAGTTTCACTGCTGTATTCATGGGTGGATTGGTGGAAACTTGTTTACCCTCCCAACAACAACAGTCAGCCTGGAGTCGGGTAACAACCTGTAAATGAGGCTCCATCTCATTCACTGTTTTACAAACAGTGACGTTGCTGTTTACCCAGACATCGCTATCTGTCGATCCTGTTTTCATGCAGTTAAGCAGCTTTTTTTTCCACTGGTCTGAAATCTGTTGGGAGATCTTCTTTGGTGGATTTGGGGGCAGGTCAGCAACAAGGCAGTGTGAATTTCCCAGAGAGCCACCGGCACCCAAAATCCACAGCATTGTGTGGAAAATAATACATAATGAAATAAGATAAATTGGGGCCACAGTTAGAGGCTTAATGCTAAGTTTGTAGTCCCCCAATATTAAATTAGGCCACTGGGATACATGTTTATATTCACATATACATTATATAACAGCTGTCTTTTAGTTATGACGACTGCATTTCAGTCTGATCTATAAGATTTAAACTGTTACTAGTAGTATCATTGGAGCTTCATGTAGTTTGTATTATATTGTTGATTCAACAAGGGCTGAAACTCACAATTAATTCATTATCGATTTAATCTGCCAGTTGTTTTCTCGATTCATCGCTCAATCGTTTTGAAGTTGTGAAAATAACCGATAATTATTTCTCAAAGTCGATAAGCTGGTGCCTTCAAATTCCTTGTTCTATATCAAGAAGATATTCAGGTTATAAAGAGATAAAATGGAGAAAAAAAGCAGCAAATCCTCACGTTTGAGAAGGAAACAAAGTAAAGTTGTTTAAAAAAATGAATAAGAAGATTGTTGTTGTTGACTGTTGTTGTCAGTGGACTGATGGATTAAGATACATGGTAGTTTGTTTGTCTTGTGTACCTGACTGATCACTTTTTTGAGTGGATAAACTACTTTTTACAATCTACTGTATGCAGGGATGATGTTCATGTTACGCCTCTGACCTTTGGGGGGGGGAGTTATCAAAGATCACAAGAGAGGTGTATATTTATCCAATAAACCAACTTTACTGGATAAAACTGAATATTTTATCCAGTAAAGTTGGTTTTAAAACTCAACAAACAGAGCAAAGGTTAAAGCAGAAGTAGGGAAGTAATTTTGGTCACTTGCTGCAATGATTAGTCAAAAAATCAATCAATCAGTAATCGACAGGCAACTAATAGGCAACTATTTTGATGATAGAATAAGAATTTGTTGGTTCTAGCTCATTAAATGTGAGGATTTTATATTTTTTTCTGCTTTATATGATTGTAACTCAATATCTTTGGGATTGTTGGTCGAACAAAACAAGACATTTGAAGACGTCACTATGACCTTTTACACAACTCCCAGACACAGACAAAAAAAAATTATCGAGTAAATAATCTGGAGATTAATCAATAATGAAAATAATTGTTCAGTGTGTCCCTCCTCTTGATTTGTGGATCCAAAATGTTTTAAACATTTGTGACCACCCTATGCTATGAAAACATTTTAGGTTAATTGCACCGGCCTACTGACATAATAACCTATAGAAAACTTATATAAATACTAGAGGATCAATACGGGCAAATAAAAGCTGCCCGGTCCTGTATGGATTTATTTCATAACAGCGCTGGCCGAGGCATTGTGCTCAGAGGAAGTTAAGCAGTGCCAGTTGGCCCGCAGAGGGGTTGTTTCACAGGGGAAAGGGGGGATGCCTCGTCCACGCAGGGGGTGGAAGTCTCTGAGAGTGTGTATGTGTGTACAATCACTGTGAACAGAAGGCACAAGTGAGGGATACTGAGCGAAGAGATATGCATGACCTCCTCACTGCCTTATGGTGTGTGCCGCCTAAAAAAAAAAGGTCTTATGTAACTGAAAACCAACAGTGAACTAATGTAGGTTTGTGTGTTTATCTCCCACGGAGTAAAAAAACTTTCTGGACAGTCACCCTTTTCCAGAGGAAACATTGCATAAGACCTATTTACATTTGCAATACACACAAACAAACAGTTCCTGTAAGTCCTTGTGTTTCTTTCATTCTCTTTATTGTCTTTATTTGTAACATTTTTAGGCTGCAAGTTAAAGGTGGTTTTTATTATGGATTTATTTGATAGTTTTGTTGATTAAACAACTAGTTGCTTGTAAGAAAATAGTGGAAAAACACTTTAAATCCCAGTTTCATGAACCCAAAAACCCCAACTTCAGAGGTCTGGTTTTCTGAAACCCAAAACTATTCAGTTTATAATCACTTAAGATAAAGAAAAGCAGCAAATTCTTAAAGTATAAAAGCTGAAACTAGAGAATGTTATTGATATTTTTGCTTGAAAAAAACTACTTAAAGGTCCAGTGTGTGACATTTAGGTGGATCTATTGACAGAGACTGTAGTTTCTCCTTCGCACTCAGAGGGGGAGGGTAATGCGAGGGGATTGCAATCTGCAATCACTAGATGCAACTAAATCCTACACGCTGTTCCTTTTTTTAAAATCAGTTGGTAATTAAAATGTATCTCCTTGTAATCAACTAATGACTTAATTGTTTCCTCTCTAATAACATGGCTGCAGGTGTCTTACTTTAATCTTTCACATAGAAAACTGATGTGAGAAGACAGTTTAATGTTCTCTACCTCTATTCTATGTGAACCACACGCTTTTTTTAAAGGATTCAAGGTTGTTTTATTGTTATTGATAGTGCAAGGTTGTAGAATTAAATGTATGTATAGTTCCCTTTTTATGCTACTCAAAAAATATTAAATGTTGAGAAAGAATTTAAAAAATGTCAGTCTTATATTGTCTTTTGGAGGACGAGTCCAACTCCTTCCATTTGCTTTCTTTAGAGTAGAGAGGGCAGTTTCAAATGTTTGCTCAACTGAGAGGGCTGAGTGTGTGTGTGCATATATGTGTGTGTGTGTGTGTGTGTGTGTGTGTGTGTGTGTGTGTGTGTGTGTGTGTGTGTGTGTGTGTGTGTGTGTATATGTGTGTGTGTGTCCAGGCAGGGGGCTGCTTATGTGTGGGAGGTGGTGGGTGCTAGAAGTTGTGTCCTCTTTAAATCTCTCTGCCTCCTCTTTCTCAAGCCTTACATCACCCTGTATAGTTATGTGACGGGTGCTTTGATTCCCACTAAAAAAAAAACCTGTTATTGACGGACGTTCGTTGTATAAGTCGTCCTACTTTACAGGTTTAAGTCAAAAGATTCAGACTGAGTTAACAACCAGAAGGGCCGTGAATGGGAGTGCTTCTTGGTGGTTTTTCATTAATGTCTCATTAATGGCTGCCAAATTCATCAAGACAACATGATTGTTAGTTAGTTCCGGTAGAAGCTTATTAGAAGTATCTATTCCTGATATAATTATACCCTCTTTATATTTGCAAGGAAATCTTCTGGTGCACATTTGGCCCCTGAGGACAGGGGTAGGAAATTAAATCTAGTGTTGCTGTGTGGGGAGTGATTAGGTGGCAGAGGGAAGACAATAGAGAGCGGACATCCTGTCAGCCTTTTTTTAGCACAGGAGACTTCCTGAGAGTTAAAAAGAAACATATATAGCTGTGCTGTTAATAAAAATTTAAGACAAATATGTTTCCTTTCACACCATAACTCACATTCTCATGGCTAAGGTGTCGCATTTATGAACAATCAAGTTGGACTGTCTGAGTGAGGTGATGAATAGTGTGTGTTAGGGTTGGTTTATTATTGGAGTAAATGGGAGGTTGAAAATGTTGGATAAGAAAAGTTACTACTGGTTAATAAAGGCATTGGTTTTAGTGTCAGAAATGTGCATGATCAGTGATGATATACTGCAACTGATGTCTAAATGGAGCCTGTAGCGACGTTTATGGCTCTTTGCTTAATTCTAGTATCTTTTCTCTCTCTTTTGTGTGACTGCTTCAATCTGCTTAAAACTCTTGAGGCAACACGCGGTCGCAACCGAATTTGGGTGACTCGTGCACATTTGACGTCTCAACAATTCTATAAAATATGACGGCATCAGGTGGTGCATCAGTGAAGATTTAACTACAGTTCTGTGAAATTCTCCAACAGAATTTGCATTAGGACCAAAAATCATGACCTATAATTAGCTAATCAGGTTTAAACATCAATTTGAAGTACTGTAGCACATCATCCTGCCACTATATGCAACTGCAGATCTTAAAATACAGTGTAAAGTTTGGGCAGCACTGCAACTACGATTCAAATGTTTGACTTGGAAACAATGGAAGGTCTTACTGCAGCACTTTCAGTAGCTGCAACTGCTACTTGCGTATAAAAGAATTATGGTGTGAATTAACCTTTTTAAATAGTTTCCCAAAATGTCAAACTTTTCTTTAAAATATGTACTTTTCACTGACTTAGCTATAATTTGTATATATCATATCATATCATTTGCATACAGTATATGTAGAATATTTTTATACAAAGACTTTATTTAACAAGCATAGATTAAAATTGCTATAAATAATAAATAATAGAATAAAATTTTGCTCAGACGTAGCATCTCTATTTGAAAATCTATCTAATACAGAAAAAAACAAAACCTCATGGAAAGAGTATCCTATGATGTTAATTTAGCTTCACAGGACATCTGGTAGTTTTTTAGTTTTTATTTTACTCAAACAAAAGTTTGCTATTGACTAATAATGGAAAGACATGATTGGTGCAGAGTTGCACTGCCTCTGACTCAGTGAGTTAGTTTACTTTACTGGAAAAATTCCTCTCAGTGGGAAGGCGTCAAGCTTAGTGAAACGATTTGCTCTCTTATCAGTTTGGCAGGGGTGTATGTGACTGTTTGTGTTTGTACTGTGTGAAAGTGAGGAGGATGATTGTGATAGAACATTATAATAGTGTCAGCTGGATTGAGACCATAAGAGAGATTTTGTTTCTATTTTTGCTTGTTAACACGGGAAAAACTTGACTAAAAGTATTTTAAACAAAGTGCCCACCTTCCTAAATCACAGGTTAATAAAATTGTCTTCTTGTCCTTCAGCTACATAATAAATGATTAAATGTATGTCCTGACCTTACTCTGTCTCTCTCTCTTTAGGGTCTCCATACTACGACAACGTCAGACCTCTCTGCTACAGCGACTCAGACGCAGTGCTCTTATGCTTTGACATCAGCCGACCAGACACAGTCGACAGTGCACTGAAGAAGGTATTGACATCACCTCAATCGTACAGCTAGGGATGTCTCCATCCGATCCCAAAGATGGGTATCAAGGCTTTTTTTTAACTGATCGGTATTGCCTATATTGAGCTTCACTGACCTGACCCTCTGTTTTACATCAGTTGTCAATCAGCTCCAATGCAGACATCTTTTTCTTGATGCATTTTATAGGAATTATAGGAAAATACAAGTATCAGGACTCTGTATTGACAGATACCCAATATTAACTCGGATTGGGGGTCAAAAAGAAACTCAGGACATCCCTACTTACAACTTAATTTTACTTGGTTGCAGGTCTGTCCCCCTTGATCAACAAGCTGCCACATATTGACTCTTTACAAATACTTACAACTGTTTCTGTTCTCCTTGCAGTGGAAAGCGGAGATCCAGGACTTCTGTCCCAGCACACGGATCTTATTAATAGGCTGCAAGACAGACCTGCGCACAGACGTATGCACGCGCATGGAGCTGTCCAATCAGAAACAAACTCCCATCTCCCATGAACAGGTTTGTTCCACGACTACTCTTTCTTACTCTGTGCGTCTATTTAGGCTTCTGTCTCTTGTCTAGACTGGGTAGAAATCCCCCTTCTTTTTTTTTAAGCTGAAGCTCATAATCAGTTTCACACGCATATATTTCCCTTTCACGTCGTAGGGTTCGTCCATGGCCAAGCAGCTCGGAGCAGAGGCTTACCTGGAGTGCTCAGCCTTCACATCAGAGAAGAGCATCCACAGTGTTTTCCGTACCGCGGCTCTGGCCTGCATGAACAAACTCCAGCCTGCCAACAAACCCAGCCCCGTCCGCCGCCTCTCCAAAAGACTCCTACACCTGCCCAGCAAGACAGAGCTCCTCTCTTCCACCTTCAGCAAGGACAAGTCCAAGAGCTGCTCCATCATGTGAATTCTGCTGAGCTCATGAAAGCACGGACAGGCGGACCTGCAGATGGTTCAGCAGGGGGTCCAGGGTGTGCAAGGGAAAGAGAGCAATGATGTGGATTTCTGCAAAGCCTCTCTCTCCTTTGCAGCATCCTCCCCCAAAACTCCCGGTCAACCACTTCAACTGCTACACTCGCTATATTCAACTCTGACACTGAACCTTTGATCATGACACCAGCACACAGTGCAGAGACGGAGTGGGGGAAAAAAAATGTTTGATGTTGAAAATATTCCTGATGAATTAAATGCACCTGTACAAAGAGCGCGTAACGGGCACTTTAAGGCTTAAAACCTGTTCCTCACATGAAGGTTAAAGTGAGAGATGTAGCTTAAATAAGGTCAGTGCCTCCTCTTTTCTACAGGGGAAGTGGTTGTAAACACTGCATTTGACTGCATTACCCTGATGAGACCCATTTGAAATTCTGATAGCGGCCCTTTTCCCATCCATCTCTTTATTTGAATGTCTCTTTAAGGTCACGATACGGGGCTGAGTGACGAGATGAAATGTAAAATCGGACAGTGACAGGAAGTGGTACCTACAGAAATGCGGCTCTGGGAATTTAAAACAGCGATCTTTGAAGAAATTATTCTTCCCACCCCCCACCCCCTACACTGACCCCTCACAGTATTTCATTTGGAAATTAAAGCTGACAGTGGAGGAAAAAAAAGGGGGAGAGAAGGGAGGGGATTTGGCAAGCAAGAGTGTTCATTTGCAAAAGGCAGTGGGAGGATGAACTGAGAGTAACATCTGAAGGAGCGCAATGTGACTCAGCACTCACATGCATGAGCCATGAAACGGTCTGGGGCGGACGTGTTGTGACAAAAAACAAACACAAAAGCCTCGGCCATGTAAAGACTAAGTATGATTTTGTCAGATCCCCCCCCCCCTTTCATCACCCGTCTCCACAGCAGTCGTAATTATTCAACGTTATTAACAACAAGGCTTGATTTAGGGATGTTACATTAATGATACATCATCTCACTGTTCCCTGCTACTTTAAGAGCTGCTTAATGGATATTAGTTTTTGATACATGTTCCAAAATCTTTTTTTTCTTAGTCTTTAAAAAATAGAACAAAGATTTCTTTTCACACGAACCAGACTGGATGGATTTATTTCAGTGTAGAGGAGTCTTAGAAATCTTTGTTTTTGAATCCTGTGCCTCATCGATATTTAAAGAGAAATAGTCCTCGACTTTGAACTTTGGACTGTAAACGTGTTTATGCGGGGCCCGGCTCACCAGCGCTTCAACAAGCTCCGGGTGCTGAGTTAAGCTGAATTTTTCATTGTTAACAGTTATCTTAAGATCATTTCCAGCCTGGATCGCTGCATTAAAGGACCGGTGTGGAGGATTTAGCGACATCTAGTGGTGAAGTTGCAGATTAAAAAACTAACTGAACACCACTCGCGTCAGTATTTGACGATCGAGGAGTAGTGGGCTGTGAAGTTTATCTACAGTCAGTGTTTGGTTTGTCCGTTCTGGGCTACTGATAATTCTTATATTCAGGTGATTATACACTAATGAAAACATACCTATGAATATTCATATTTCTGCCAATAGATCCTCTAAATGTTTCACACTGGACCTTTAAATATTAAATGTCCCTGAGATGATCGGTGAGAAGGTGAATCAACACAAACAGGCTGGTCCTGTCTGGAGAAAGATTTTTTTTTTCCTTCTTCCTCTTTTTATGCTTTAAAAAGATTAAAATTTTATTTTTGCAACTTCCCTGAAAACTATTCTCTACATTTTCCATTTATTAAATAGCCTTTTTTTGGTTTCTTTTTCTGGATGTTTCTACTTGCTTGTGGCTGTTTTTTTAGGTGTTTTTTGGGGGTTTTTTGTTTTGTTGTTGTTGTTGTAGATGTTGTTCTTGTATTCACTTGAGTCTTCTGGCATTGGCGGGCTGTTGACAGCTCAGCTAATGGAGGACTTGATGATTAGTAGGTCTGCACCGAGAAGCCCGGAGATCTCTCGATGTACAGAACACTGGAATTTTTACGCGTTGCCTAGCAACAGTGTGAGCAGGGGGCAGGCCTGAGCGGGGTTCCTGCCTCACGGAGAGAGAGGGAGAGAGGGAGGGATGGTTCTCCGAGAGGGCGCCTCACCTTTTTTTTTTTTGTTTCATATATTTTTTTTTAATTTGTAGCATTAGACAAAAAGCCACGTATTCACTGCGAAGGTGACGGCTGGACATTTCAGGGAGCGGCGGACTGCCTCCCTGATCTCTACGTGGTTTTAAAAGACCCCACGCTGGTGAAAATCCACGAGTGGGTTGTTGGAAAACAGCACGCCATCTAAAAACACGTCTTCTGTAGCTCTGCTTCAGTCATTATATCACCTCTCATTCCTGTCTGGTGCATTGTGCTATCCAAAACGAGCTCCATTTGGGTCAATACACAGCCGTCATTTCAGTTTCTCTCTTGCTCTCGCTCGTTTTTTTTTTTTTGACAGACAGAACTTGTTTTGTTGTACATATCCTTCCTCATGAAACTGTTTTATTTGAAATCCCCCAAATGAATGTTACTGAAGCAAAACAAGATGTTTGTGTCAAGTTGCCTATTATGGCTTAAGTTATTGACTGAATTCTGTATTTGTTATTGTCATATGCTACTTTCTTTAAATCTTTATTTAAATAAATGTCTGAAGTTCATTTACAAGTCGGTGTTTATTTGTCTTTAAAATTAGGCCTTTCGATGGATGTATTGATCACTGCTTATGAAGAAATACACATGATGGGGAAATACTAAAACAACTGTAAGACAAACAGTAAAAAGTGTATATAAACACTATTTATTGTCCACTTTCACAAAAGATATCAAAAGTTTGGGTGGTTTGTCTTTACCCTTTTAATTTCTCTGTTGCTTTATTCACGTTGAACAAACAGCATTATTCATGCAGATGAGTTCCAGGAGCTGTATCAAATTAGAGCAAAAGATTATTTGGGTAATATGATCAAATGCTCAAGGCTCCTTGAGAGAAGGAAAGACTGATAGCTTGGCAGCACATTGTCTATTTTGTCTAAAGGAAGAATGATAACATATACTTGTTTCTCAGGTCAAGAGCAGTTCTCAAGTCCATGATACAGATTACACATACACATTGTTCTTTTATTAGACTTTATGAAAGGCTTTAACCTACGGTATAATTCCTGGTGGTTTTTAACTGTAACTCTACACTGCAGAAAACAGCCCTTCGAAAAAAAAGCCAAATATTCTTAAAAAATAATCAAATAAATCTGCCAATGAGGTACGCCAATTTTACTTGGCCAGAATTATTAAAACTAGCATAAAAATCTAGCCACTAAAAGACTGTAATTGGCCTTAAAACTATTACAAGCAATGAATCCTCAGTTATTTAAGATAGACTTTATTAAAATAAGTATTTTGGTCACTTTATTGAGTTGAATATAAGAAGAAGTGACTTTGTCTTAAATTAAGGCACCAGAAGCCTTTTTTTTATTAAAACAATGAGACATTAAACAGCTTTTACAACATTAGGACTAAGACTATTTTCTTTTAAATTGAGAAGTGTATTAAAGTAAAATAATCTTGTTCCTCTGCTGGGATATTATGCAAAGCATTGTTATAACTTGTTACTGGTTATAGCTCAATATTGGCTATGATATCTTATTAAGACAAAGTTAGATATATTATCTTAAAATTATATTTATTTTCTCATGCAAAACATGCTTCACAAGATTTTTCTTTTTAGACAAAAAATGAGCCTCCTTTCCCATTTTTTAAAGTTATTTTAAGATTCCCTCTTTGCAGTGTACAGAATAATAAACTGCACCAGATTTAGCTCAGCTCTAAAATTAATTGCAGTCAGGTTTGCATTCAAACAGATTTCAGGACATCAAACTGAACTTTTTAGTTCGGTCCCTGAGGACTGTGTGGCCTACAATTAGATGATGACGACAGCGAACACAGTATGGTGTCACAACAGGCCTGTGGATGTTATACCACTGAAGCATGAACACAGCCTTAAGGAATCAACCCTCCCCCTCCCCCCCCCCAACACACACACACGTCCAACGCCACATGCATACATCGTGTTACATACATGATTAGTTTTGAAAACTTGCCTCTTTCTATTGTTTTGTTTGGATGCCATGTTGTCCTACTTGAGCAGCACCAGCTCTTTATAAATCCTTCACTACGTTTGTGTAAAGTCCTTCCTAAGATCTTAGTATAGGTATTTACTACCTTTAGAACTTAAACCTACAACAAAGTGTTTTTAAATCGGTTATGAAACAGTCTAAATGTAATACTGATGCCTCTATATGACCTACAAAGAGACACAAGACCATCAGGGAGAAGATTGGCTGTTTATAGTTGAGTTTAATGTCTGCCACCACGTTGTATTCAGGCAGATTCCCCTTGAAATCAATGAAATGAGGCGGTGGGAACACTACCACTACTGTCCACAGGGGCCGCCAGAATCAACAATAAATATGAGTGATAAGTTCTTTGTTGTTGCCTTAAACGTACAATATGTAATTTCTGCCCCTAGGGCGTCGCTCACATAACAAAACAATAACAAAAGACTACGTTTTGTGACATTGTGAGGTAGCGTGGGATCATGGGAGTTGTTGTCTTGACCACCATTGTTGTCACTGCAGTCGATGTAGCTTCTCCCGGTTCCTTCAACGTTTATCAGTCAGGTTTCTACTGGGAGCTGAATTATCCGCAGAGGTCTCACAGAGATTAAAACCGGTAAAAACACTGAATAAAGCAGTTTCAACTTAAAAATCAGTGTTCTGCTGTTCAGCAGACGAAGGACGTCTTTGAGGGGCTTAAGATCCAGACATCCAATTACTAAAATCCTTCATTCCTGTTAAAATATATTGTAAAAATGACTAAGATCCAAAAGGTGTATCGTAAAATGTGGCTTAAAAGTGGATAAAAAGACAATTTATAAAAACCCTGGCATACAACAACAACACTGACGCATGCGCAAAGACAATACAACGCTTTTTAGTAATTTAGAAATATTGTGTTTATTAGGTTTGTTGTGGTTCAACCAGTAATTTAGTTGTGTTAATCTCCATTTAGTTAAAGATCCCCATCCAGTCAGGTAATAAGACATATATAAAAATAGTCAGCTTGGAACAATAATGTGTGTCTGATATGTCCACCGGTGGCATACTGGCGACTGGATCTGCACGCTGAAGCTCAAACAACCAACCAACAAACCAACTGTGGGAACAAGAAGAAAAACATATTTTTGAGTGGAGGCTAATTTGAACTTAAGTCTAGTAGACTAAAATCAGAGGTGGGTTGTAGAGGGTCTTTTATCACATTACAAGGGAAGACATAGGGTTGGCGTAGGTTGGATTAATTTGCAGTGACCTAGTTTGATCATTGATTGACTTTATCTTCAATCCTAACAATAAACAAAAGGTCTGTGGCCTAATGTGCATCTATTGTTTGTAAACTTGTGCTTTAGTACATTAATACATTATATCATAGTTATATTCTTCATGTTGTGCTATGAGCAAAGGGCATTTCCTTTTTTCTCTCCACAACAACATCTTGCAGTTTGCTTTTCTCTTGTTTTTTTTTTATGTAACCAACAATCCTCCCTGACCTCCATCACTATATTTGCTTAGTCTCTCAGTTGACTGATACGGGCTCTTATCAGGATCTCCCTGGCTACGTCCTGCTGTCACACTCTGCCCACTGATGATACGACATGGATGAAGTGGCTGAATGTTTGCCATTCCTGAACTATCACACACACAGGATACAGAAGTGACTCATGACCTCCTTATCCTTCTACCTTTGTACAGTAGGTGATGAGGAAACTGTGAGAATATACTCTGCATCACCAGTCTCCGATACATTTAATCTCTCGTCTGCTCCAACATTGATTTTCTGCAGCTGGAAATGGAAAAGTGGTTTGATCGTATTTTGGATAAACAGTGCTGCCAGCCTGTCTGTCTATAACGCTCCTATCTTTTTCTACAGTTTCTCTGTCTCGCTCACACAGATACATGCACACATTTATCAAAAACTGGCCAATACATTACATGTCCATGTAAATCAGATAAACCTCTAACAAAGGCATAGCCTGTCATCCATGTCAGGTTGCTCCAAGGCATGATTATACTGCATGACCATGTGCAATTCAAGCCCTGCCAGGGGTATTTGACAGAGACCGCAGGTTTCTGGATAAAGTTATTTAGATTTTTGTGCTTGTTTTGACTATGTTTTCTTTTTTAAAAACTTTATCTGTATTGTTTTCGTTTTAGTAATAAGAGAAATGAAAAGGACAGACTATATAATAAAAGATGAAGTTAATGGGGAGGAACAGGTCTATACAGTCTATGTAGACAACATTACTGTTTATGCCCTTTTTTTATGGTATTTATATATTAACCTTTTTCCGCAACAATCTTCTGTAATTTAAACTCAATCAATCCCTCTAGGATTTGGTTTTTTTTAATTGTTGTGGCTTAAAAAGTCAGATTTCACTTCATCTTTTCTTAAAAACAAAAATGCTGTACACATTACCATGTTCTTCTTTCATTTCTTTTGCATTTAAATCGTTTTTGCATAATTTATTAAAATTCCAAGCCAATTTGTTCCAGTTTGAATAAAAGCACTCGTAGTTTGTTGACGTATAACTCAACGCTGTACGTGGGGGGACTGCTATGATCAAACTCGCAGTAACTACAAAGATTGGTCAAATTTGTCAAACGTTGCTGTGATTAGACAAATTTGCGGAAGGTCGTTGGGATTGGGAGGATTTGCTTTAACGTTGACATCGCAACTTCCTGGATGGACCGGTGCCATTTGTCAGATTCTTCAGGATATCGTCCACAATGGTCAGCCATTGTTTGCGACCTTGAGACAGTTATTTGCAGCGACACTGGACTCTCTTTATATAATAATGTCAACTAAATGATAAATGCACTCATGGTTTTTGTATTTCATCGGCCAGGATAATTTATAGCCTATTTAATAGTTATTAACAACAGTTTACACAACTTTTTAGTGGATAGAAAAAAAGGAGAAAGTCCTAAGTTTAAACATTTTTATGAACTATTTCATTATGTCTGATTTTAGGTGTTCCAGCCCCCTCAGCACCCCTGCTTCCAGCGCCCATGGTACTTTGTGGCCTTCTTTCCGGCAGCGAGGAGAATCTACTATCGGTCTCCTTCCATGAGTCCCAAATATAAAGCAAGGCAGGATCGGGGGATTTCGTATCCCAATACCTCACACAGAGCAGAATGTCTATTAAAGGTTGTATTTATTGCTCCAAAAAATGTGTGTGTGGTTCGGCTCCATGTGGTCACGTAAAGTCTCCAGCGATGGTTGTTGAATTTTCCTTTGTTTACTTTTAATTTTGGGTGCGATGAAGTACCGAATTTGATTCTTCCAAATAAATTCTCTCCATCAGATGTAGAAAAGGGAGGCTGCTTGCTCCATTTCCTGGGATGAAATTGTTTTTATTTTGCTTAAATTTTTTTCATTTGCTGTTATAACATATATATTTGGTGTAATTAAATGTATTTTTACTTGAGTAAGAAAATGAAAACCTGAATCCAAAAGAGAAACACTGCTGATTTACTGATAAAATGTCCAAGACAATTTCTAAAAAATCCCTCCGTTCTTAAATAAATAGATTTGTGCAATCCAACAATGA